GCCCTAAAGTCATTTACATGCAAATAACATTATGCAGACTGAGGAAGTTGGATGAATATATTTAGGAGTGTGTATGTGTGAGTGTGTGTATGTGTGTGCACGCACGCGCGCACACACACACACACACATATCACAGCAATTAAAGAAAATGAGGCTATGAATTTGAGTGAGAGAAAGGGGGTGTATGGGAGGTGTTAGAGGGAGGAAAGGAAAGAGAGTACGTGTTGTATTTTATCTTCAAAAATACATTAATTAAAATAAGAACAACACATTGAAGGCTGGGTATATTGGCAAACATGTATTTCTTGCACTCATAAGACTGAGGCAGATGTCAAATGGATACCTGCAAAATGTATCTTATACACACACACACACACACACACACACACACACACACAAATAAAAATAAATCTCAAAGAAAAGAATATCAGAACTAAACATATATGTGACTGTAATTATGATGCCTGACTGAGCAAAAGTTGAATTCCCAGGCTTCTTAAGTCAACAGAACTGTACTTGACATTATGAGAAGTAACTGGAAGTATTTTTCTGTTAATGAAACCATATTAAAAACACTTCCCTCTTCCTTGGGAGCTTTCTCAATAGGTGATGTGCCTGCCTAATGAGGATTTGAGACCTGGGCCTTAGCAGCCATGTGGAAAAGCCATGTGTAGCCTCACTCAACTGTATCTCCAATTCTTGGGGATAGAAGGAGGACTTTCTCTGAGGCATGTGTAAATAGTGAGCTGCAGGTTCAGTGACAGAGCTTGTCTCAGAGAACAGCTGGAGAATGACAAAGAAGACAGCTTCTGTGCCCATTGTGGTGGCCTCCACTTATACACAGGGGCACCAGCACCTGCAGAATGAATGAATGAGTTGCCCAAGTTACAACTCTAATCTTGTTTGACTTATAGATGATGGTTGAAAATTTAGCTCTTAATTTAAAAGTAACTCCAGGACTCCAAGAAGGGTATGCATCAGTCTTTACATAAGACTGCTTCTGCCCAGAAAACTCCTGGTGTTCTCCTTATTCAGATTTCACTGAGACTGACCTATTATTGAGATCTCATGAGGGCATAGAGGTGTCCTAGTACCCTTCTATCTCAGTCTTTCCTGATCCTGGGAGGTGGGGGTAATATTGTAGATGTACCAGGGTCCTTGTAGTAGCCTCTGTCTACTGCAAACCAAGCTGTTTTGATGGGGGCTGAGAACTAAACCTCTATTTGAGAATAAGGAAATTAACATACAGTTAGATTATATATTGATTTAGGGAAACAGCAGTAGTTGGTCCTACTGGAGGGTGTGTGTCTTCTCCACCCTGTAATGAGTAGGTTTTTCCTCCCGCTGCTGGTCTTGTCCTGCCTCTGCGCCAGCCCCAATTAACACACTGAGACTCTGTATTTGATATAATGCTGTAAGCCAGGTACTAGTTTCTTATTGGCTATCTCTGTCTTAAGTATTAACCCATTTCTGTTAATCTAAGTATTTACACGTGGTTTCACCTTACCGGGAAGTGGGGCAGGCATCTGGTCTGCCCCAGTCTCTCCATCATGACACCTCCTTACTCCTTCCTCTTTCCTCCTTGTCTCCTAGTCCCTCCTATCTTCCTTTCCTATTGGCCAACAGTGCTTTATTCATTAACTAGTATGAGAAACATATATACAGAATGACATCTCCCATCATCTCCTCTTTTTTGTCTGAATAAAAAGAAGGGTTTTAACCTTAACATAGCAAAATATATAACACAACAGTTATCAAGTAAGAATCACAGTTAACAATATTTAGTCCATAACACTTAGTAAGATTTAAGAAAATATTCCATCATCTATCCTATCTTTGTGTGTCTAAAGTCTAAGTAACTTATTTTTAATCCTAACTAAGGAAAACTATAACCATAACTATTTGTCTTCAACTCCTTCAAAGACCACAGAAGGAAACAAAGTGAATATCCCACTACAATTCCCCTTTTAGTCTAAAGAAAAGATTTAGGCTTAATACAAAACTATATACAAAACAGTGAATAACAAGTGTGCTCTAAGAAAAGGAAAACCGAGAACAAAATTACCTACATATCTCGTCCTAGGGTGAAGGCATAATGGAGTTTACAATAGAGTTGTCCTAAACTGGAAAACTTAAGTCTAGTACCTAATATATCTAACTAGAAAGAGAGAATAATAGTTGTGATAGTTTAATCTCCAAACTCATCAAGACCTGAGAAGGAACATAACGATACGAGGGTAGACAGGAAGTGTGAATGGTCAACTTCCAAAAGGTGCAGCGAGGACAGAAACAGCAGGCTGCCTGGACCCAAGGTCTCACAGCAACATTGGTATACCCAGTTTTGGGTAAGGCCAAGAGAACTTGACAGACCACAACAACAGCAGGGAAGTAGAAAGGCTGTCTTACCCTGACTTGGCAAGGTTCAGCAGTCTTCTATATTTGTCTCCTGCAAGCACATAGGACCGCATGTCCAAAACAGTTGTCAAGGTGGGGGCAGTTCTTTGCCCAAGAGGCCATTAGCTGAAGTGAGAATGAACTCCAGAAGGAGCAACAACAGTGTCCAACATATTTTTGTGAAAGTACACGGTGCTGTCAGGAGCAATAGTGTCTCATGTCAACGGAGTACTAATATTAAAACATTTAAATGCCATGTTCTGCATGTCTATGAAGTGATTGAAGATTAAGCATCTATGTCTGACTAATCTCATAGGTAAAGGAAACATGAGTGAAGATAATCTGTCCTATTCATGAACTTAGCTAAAAAACTGAATGAAACTTCCCTGAATAATGCAGGGACAAATACCTAAACAATATAACTATGTACATATACATACATATAAATACCTAAAATAGAGGTAGAGTAGAAATGTCTAGACAAGAGGTAGAACTATAAAGGGCAGCATGATAAATATCCCAAATTGTATCAATATGCAAAATGTCTTGAATACAAGAAAAGTATACATACATAGAATATGGCAAGAATAAATGTGCATAAATTGTATCAATATACGAAATGTCTTGAACATAAGTAAAAGTATACATACATAGAATATTGTAAGAATAATGTGCATAAAACCTCATAAGTAGAAAGATTTCACACAATATAACCCAATATAATATACAATTCTTCTGGAAAGGGAATATAAACTTAATTTTACATAGCTTACCACAAATAAGAATATATAACAATGTAAACTTTACAATACTATTATCTCACTCTTACTCAATAATTCACAAGAAGACGGGCTTATCTACCTATAGCCCATCTAAATCTTATCTTTCCCAACCATACCCTATTCCTGTCTAAAAGATAAACCAGAGTCTAAGCATCACCTTCCATACCCAACTCTAAGTAACTAAAACCAACCCAAAGAAGATGAATATTATCCCCAAATTCCAAGAGTAGGGGAAGGGGGAATTATTATCTTAAGGTTACTTCCTGCTGAAATGGGACGATGATTGCTCCATGGGATCCTGTGGGAAGAAAAATTTTAGCAACCAAATTTCTCAACAGAACTGGCTGTGACATATGTAGTTAGTCACTGTGTGGCAGAAAATGCTTGACTGCAGTTCAATTTGAAACTCTGGCCAGGGTGTAATAAGAAGGTGCACCATTACACTAGCTAGTCATAAGTTGTCTCAAGCAAAACAGTCTTAAACCAGTTTTAGGGTGATGTTTGTAGTCCAGATGTATCAGGTTGAGTCAAGTGGAAATGACGACACGGGGCCCCATCTTTCTGGAGAGTTCAAAGATTGCTGTTAGGAATTGTTATTATTCTGTGTGGAAAACTTAAACATCAATATTACAGTAAAAAATTTTAAGTTTTTAAGGTATGCATTAGGGAAAGGCAACAGTAAGCTTTAAAATGTATATGAGAAAATTAGGATTTCAGAGAGAAAATTGCATATAAGCGAACAAGTCCCCAGATTTTGGCTTCTTGATTTAAGGCAGAAACCGTGAATTTAATCTTAACAACATGCCTGAATTTAGAGAAGGAAAGCCAAATCCAACTCCAAACCAGGGGGCTGGCGCAGTGGCAGGACAAGACCAGGAGCGGGAGGAAAAACCTTATTCCTTACACCACCCTCTGATAGTTGACTAGGTTCACAGTATCAGACATCAGTTCCTTCGTATTGAATATGACATAGATGGCTGATGGCTATTCCCAAGATAAAATTTGCACCTTTGGGGATATCTTGGCTGGCCAATTATTGTTTTGCTTTGTAGGTTTTTTAGTTGTATAGAACTGTTGGTTACATTTGTCTGTTGTCAGATTGCACAGCATTTTCTGATACTATGAGTGCTAATCCCCAAAGGGAAAGCTTTCTGGACCAGTCCTGGTTCAGTTCTTCCAGGTCTGTATGGGAAGTGTATGCTATCTTTAGAAATAGAATCTTCTTCTAAAGTTGTAGGTATGTAGCTAAGGACAGTAGGGGTATCTCATATGGTTTGGTGGTTCTCTAAGTCCCTTGACCAACTGTTTGAAAGTTTCTCTTGCCTGGCTCTGGAGCCATTGTTAAGTAATCTGTGGTTCTTGCATGGAGCATTATTAGCCATGTGGCATAAATCCATTAAACACACATACACAACACACACACACACACACACACACACACACACACACACACACACACACAGAGAGAGAGAGAGAGAGAGAGAGAGAGAGAGAGAGAGAGAGAGAGAGAGAGACTGACATACCTCAGAAGTTGGGAAAATATAGGGGTACAATGGTTGGAGAGGAAGAGAAAGAGCTTGTTGAAGGACACAAGTGCTTTGAAAGGGCAAAGGTGCCTAACTAAGGAAGGGAAGAAATGGAGTACATATAGGGGAGGAGGAAAAAGGGACAAATAGCACTAAAGGTATTTTAGAAAGCTACAGGGAAACATTTTGATTTTATTATTTTTCAAAAGTCTGCTATCTTTGATTAGTAGTAACAGCTGAATACTTATTTTCTAATAGAAACTTTTTATTTCAGCACTTTTATTAATCTCTCCCATAGTTTCTGAATCAGAGATTTCCCAAGAAGCTGATGACATGGCTATGGAGAAAGAAAAATATGTGGATGAACTGAAAAAAGCATTGGTTTCTGGATCAGGAGCAGGGGACACATACAGATTCATCTTTTCTAGAGAGTCGTGCCATTTCTGTCTTGAGAAAGAACTGAAAGATGTCTCAGTAAGTAAAGCTTCCCACAAATTTGATTTTATTGATGGAGTTTGTTTCACACTTAAGTAGCAGGTCTATTATTCTTAGAGCACTTCTGAAATAAATACCAAGACATTAGTTGGTACCCTCATTAATATGCCTCAAGTTTTAAAAGAAAGAAATCATATATAAAAAATGTGATTCTGTGTGTATTTTCTGTTATGTGTGGATATGTCTGTGCATGAGTGTGTGTGTGTATGTGCTGAATCACACATGTGATGGTCAGAGGATAACTTTTGGGAATCAGTTCTCTCCTTCCTCCAGGCCTCCGGGGATGAAATTGAGTCCATCAGCCTTGTTAACAAGCAGTTTTCCACTCCAAGCCATCTTAGCAGCTCATTATGGGTCAGATTTAAAGTCCATGACATATTTCTTTTAATACATTGTGAAAAGTACTCTACAATATTTAAAATATTTTAAATATTATAGTTAATGACATGAATAAACAATTTTGAAAAAGTGAAATAAAGAGTTTTAGATTATTGCATCCTGATTTGCTCAAAAGTAAACATGGGAAAATACAGAATTTTAGAAAGAAAGCAATACTTTTACTTTTGGCTCTTTAGTAACTTATTTGTTTTCTTTCTTAGAGTATATTTGAAATTTTGTTTTATTACATTATTGTTGTTTAATGATTCTTAATTTATTGTTTTATGTGTCTTGGTATTTTGCCTGCATATGTGTCTGTGAGGGTTTTGTATCCTTTGGAATTGGAGTTACAGAAAGTTCTGAGCTGCCATGTGTGCTGGCAATTGAACCTGGGTCCTCTGGAAGAGCAGCCAGTGCTCTTAATCATAAGTCATCTCTCTAGCCCCCAATATTTGAAATTTAAAAACAATATAGTCCTTTGTAGTAGTACATGTAATTAATGACTAAGGAAACATTATTTATATTGTCATACTTAGAAATAATAAAGTAGGGATAACATTGTGTCCAAGCTTTCCAAAGATTTCATGCTTTTTAGATGAGCATATCTGCTACTTTGCTTAGTTTCTGCGCCAATTCTGACTAAGGTTCTGGCTACTTCATTAAGGTCTGTGCTTACTATCTTTACATATTGCCCAAATTAATTAGACATTAAATATGCCTTTGGTTTATTAATTGTATGAGTTCTACAGCTTAAGACAAGGGAAACTTACTTCTTTATGTTCATTGATAGTAATGAAGAATTTGCTTTTTTAGCTACATCCGATTTTTAAATGCTTTTAAAGCAACCTTTTAAACTCAGAATAGTAAAGGAGAATTATCAATCAGAAATATTTGAAGATATAAATTAAATTATTTTTAAATATGTGTTATTGTGGGAAATATTATAGAATGACTGGTTTTGTAATTTCAGTTTAAAAGATACATACTCACTTTAGCTGCAATGCATACTTTTCATTATGTTGTAGTAATTAAAATAATAATTTAAAAATAGGTGAAGGAGATCTGAATTGATTTTTCTGTGGCTCTTGCTCAATCAGATGATATTAAACACATTACAACTGCTGCCTGTTTCTTCTATTATGAAGTGGAAAAGGGCAAGTTAAGAGTAATACCATTTCCTATTCAGCAGGCATTGGTTTTAAATAAGCAGTGTTATTTTGTGATGACATGTGTCATGTTAGTGAGTACCTGTGACGTGGTGAAAGGCTGGGGCTCAGCAGGTGGACTGCTGGAGAACTTGCCCGACTGCAGGGTATTGTATGGGGTTTTGCTGATTCTCTGAAGAAAAACCTCTAATTCTTCATGACTTCTGTCATTACAATTTATAAGAATTGAAGAGTAGCAATAATCCTGAAGAAGTTCTTGCTTTCCATCCTGAAATTAATCACTATCTTTTCAATTGAGTTGTTTTTTGGTTTTTTTTTTTTTTTTTTTTTTTTTTTGGTTGTGAGCCCAACCTTTAACAACTGAGCCATCTCTCCAGCCCTTGTTTGCTTTTTTGTTTTGTTTCTTTGCTTGTTTTGAGATAGGGTTTCTCTGTGTAGTATTCCTGGCTGTCCTGGAACTCTCTATGTAGAGCAGGCCTCTTCTTCCTGAGTGTTGGGATTAAAGGCATAGATCACCATGCCTGGCTTCAACTGATTTTTACTAGTGATTAAACAGCATAAAAATACCAAGGAATTCAGAGGAGTCCCTAGACAAATGGCTTTCAACCACCACATTGCTGTTTAAATGGCTGTCCCATTATTTACTCATTGTTTATTTATTGATAAGATCATTTATGCCTGGCTTATTGAGAGAGAATTGTGGACATTTAAATGAGGCAAACTTTCCATGCAAAGGTCAGCTGAGGATGCAGCTGAAACATTGACAAGCATATTCAGTCAAACTTTGGGAACCTTCTAGTATGCCATGTGTTTCTGCAAACTGATTTCAGAGTGATACCATCTTATAAATTCATCTGCTGGCAAAAACGTGCTGACAGTTGCACACATGGTTCATTGCACTTGAATGACCCATGCATTGTAAAGGAGTTTGTAATGGTTTCTTTAATGACACAGATACCTGACAATTGCCAAAACAATGACCTCCTACTCTTGGAAGAATGGGGAAGAGTGTACAGATTCAGTTCAGAAAGCTATACTAAATTCTGCTGTGTTTCCACATAAGACTGTTCCCATGGCAAAGAGACCTTCATGAGTCCCAAGTGCACTTGCTTCCAGACTGCCCCTCTGGCAGGCACAGTTTGAGACTTTTCTTGCCATCATTCAAAAGTTTCACATGCCAAATGGTGTTTTCAGGATCATTGTACAACTTGAATATTTGTATTATACATGTATGAAAGTTGTATGAAATCTACATTTTTTTACTTCCCTCTTTTAAAGAAGAAAAATTCTATTAATATTTTCATTTAAAAGGACCTTTTTAAAGAAAAATTTAAGCATACTTTCCCTAAGTAATGTCATTTTCTATTTCCAGTGTAATAAGGACTTATTAGGTACATAATTTGTTTGGTGATGTTCAGGTTTTAGGAAAGAATGTGTTCACAGTTTTTATGAGATTAGCTTTGAATTTATAACTAATTCCCTACATGTATGTATGTTTAGATTATTTTTTTAGTTTATATTTTCATTTAATCTTAATACTAGTATAAATATTATATAATCAGCTAGACACTAATACCATTTCTCTTTAGTGTAACCCTCACCACTAAGAACCCTGTAGGTGTCAGTGAGCTGATATACTCTGGTGTCAGCACTGAGAGTTGATCATGCTGTTAGCTTTACAAAACTTGCCTCTGCCACACTATTCCTCAATTTTCTGATTTCTTGGTAGAACTTGGTCTTTTTTACATTGTGTCTTCATAATATAATTTTCTTCTAACTTTGCGTTGAGAATGTTTTTTTTCATAATAAGTTACAACTAAATGTACTTTGAAAAATTCTTCTCTCATACCTTGCATCCTGATAGCCATTTCCCTCCCTTCAATCCTCAGCCCCCTCCCCTCAACCTCCTCTCTCTCCCAGATCCACTCTGTCTCTGTTCCCCTTCAGAAAAGAGTAGGACTCCCAGGATATAGCATAACAAGTTACAATAAGACTAGGCACAAACCTTCATATCAAGGTTGGACAAGGCAACCTTTTAGGAGGTCAGTGGTCCCAAGAGCAGGAAAAAGAATGGTGATATACTATTTATTATTTATGACTTATTAAAGCTTGCCTGAGGATTCAGAAAGCAAACCTAACCTCAAGCTATAGAGAGCAAGCACTGGTGATACATGGCATTAATCCCAGGACTCAGGATTAAGAGGTAGACAGATCAAGGCCAAACTAACTATAGGAAATTGATCCGGTCCTAAAAGAAAGAGTTCACACAAAGGTAATCTCAGCACTTTTAATCCTAGCAACTAGGGAGGGAGACACAGGAGGATATGGTTGGGTGGAGAAAGTAATATAATAAGGAGGAGACAGGAATTCTCAGTCTTTTGCCTCTATTTGTCGAGAGAGGATTGCCATTTCAGCTTGGTAGAGGTAAATTCTACTGGCTTGCCTACTTTGCTTCTCTGTTCTTCAACTTGAAGCTTGAACCCCAATATCTATCTCTGGGTCTTTTATTTATCATGATACACCCATTCCCATTGTTAGGAAGCCCATAAAAACACTAAGCTATACAACCATAACATATATTCAGAGGATCTTGCACAGACCCATGCAGGCTTTGTGACTGGTGCTTCAGTCTCTCTGAGCCCCTATGAGCCCTGCTTAGTTGATATTGTGGGCTGTGTTCTCAACCCCTCTTGTTTCTGTATTCCTTTCCTCCACTCTTCTATGGGGTTCCCTATGCTTCACCTAATACTTGACTATGTGCCTCTGCATCTGCCGTCATCAGTTCCTGGATGACGTTTCTCTGATGACAATTGGGCTAGGCGTCCATCTATGAATACAGCTGAATATTGTTAGGAACCATTTCATTGACTTTGGGCGGCAGGCTTATTTGGTTTTATTCCCTCCAATTCCAGTCATTTCTCTCCTTACTTTTTATCTTCACCCCACTCCTTACCCCTGCCTGATCCCATTCCCACCTGTCCCCAAGTCCATCAGGAAAATCTATTCTACGGCCCTTTCCTAGGGAGATCTATGTGTTGAGTTTGGATTGTTCCCTAACCCCTCTGGTTCTTGGCTTGTAGATGAATTATCCTTTATTTAACAGCTAATATCTATTTTTAAGTTAGTACATACCGTGTTTGTCTTCCTGTGTCTGGGACAACTCACTCAGGATTTTTTCTATTCATTTGCCTGCAAATTTTATGATGTCATTTTTTTTAAAGAGCTGAGTAATACTCCATTGTGCAAATATACCACATTTTTTAAAAAATCCACTTTTCAGTTGAAGGACATCTAGGTTGTTTCTGATTTCTGACTATTATTAATAAAGCCTCTATGAACATAGTTGGGCAAGTGTCCTTGTGGTAGGAAAATCCTACAGACATATGCCTACGAATGGTAGAGCTGAGGTAGATCATTTTCTAATTTTCTGATGAC